GTAGCTCCTTGCTGGAGGGTCTCCTTGTAGCTCCTGCCCCTTCCTACTGCCTCCGCCACTCAGCAACTAGAGAGGTCTTTTGGAAAAAAAAAATCTGATCACATTTCTCCCTCCTCAGTTCCCTTCCATGGCTTTTCATTGCTCTAAGGAGAAAATTCAAACTCTGATCTGCAGAACCTTGCCCACCTTCCCACCTCTTTTCAGGTCCTTGTCCCTGTCACTCTGCCTCTTATGTCCCTGTCACTCTGCTCTCCTGCCAAAGGGCTCTTGCATTGCTGTTCCCACTGACTATTATGCTCTCCCCTGACTTCTTTCACTGGCTGATTCTCCCTCTCTTTTCAGATCTCAGCTTAAGCCTTCAGGGCAGTTCTCCTAGACCCTTAGCATCTACTGGGTTCCTTTGATGGGTCTTTATCCCCCTTTTAACAACCACAACACCATTTGTACTATACATTCACTAGTAACATCTGATCCCCTACTGCACTATGAGCTGGTTGAGGGTAAGGATCATCTGTCATGTTCACCCTGTTACCCCTAGCACTCTGCACACCCCTGGCATGGAGAGAGCATCTCAGGACTCCTATCCCTTGCAGGACATGACAGTGCTTGTGGCTACTGCCTCATAGCAATCACGGGGGAGGCAAAGCAGTAGTCATTGGTTCCTTGTTCAGCTGAGAAAACTGAGGTTCAGAGAATTTAGAGCTCCATGAGGTTGCAGTCAAAGACCACTGCACCCCGTGGTCCTGCAGTGAGTTAGTGGGTGGGCAGGAACTTGAACTCAGGGCCCCTACATATGTAGCACGGGCTCTTCTACCATGAAGCAGTTTTAGGAGCAGAGCAAGTATGACAGGCAGTTGTCCTGGTTGGGCAGTGTGACACTGTGCATGTCACCCCTCTTTGGGTGGATCTCCCTGCTGTAAATTAGGACAGTGAACAAGGTAAGTTTTAAGTCTCAGGGGCTCCAAGAGGTTTGGTTCTCATGGGTTGTTTCCATCTCTGTGCTTGGCCCTAGATGGTGGGAATCCTAGGAGAGGGTGGGACAGTAGCTGAGGTTTTGTGTGTCCACAGGTGTCCTCCACTTGCATTCCAACACCTGGTATCAGGAAGTTCATTTAAACTTCATATTTTCCCCTGAAAGAAGAAAAGGTCACTGAGGTATAAAACCATGCTGTCCATCTTTTTTCTTCCCAGTGTTTATGAAGTGGGCAATGATACCCAAACTTCTTGGCTTAAGCTGTGTTTCCAGCCCCTTCCTTCTGGTTTCTTTGAAGAACTTCCTCTCACTCCATGCTACCATCTGGTAGAACTACCAGCATGTGTTCCCATCCAAGGGTGGGCATAGAATCTATTCTGGCCAATCAGAATATCCTCATCACTCTGACCACAGTGATTAGTTCAGGAATAGTCCTGTGACCCAAGCAAAGCCAATCAGGGTCTTCCCTAGAAGTAGTATATGGATGCAGGAAAAACTGTTGCCCTTGTAGTAGGATTGCTGAGCTGAGACCAGGCAGGCCTGTACCTCCTGGAAGCCGTCTTCCCTGGCCACAGGGCAGAAACCAGCAGAAGAATGATGACAGAGCTCTGGTACCAGCTCTCACTTTGAAGAACCTGAAGTCCCCTTTTTACTTTAGCTAGTTTGAGTTGAACTTCTGCCTCTTACAGCCAAGTGTCCTTGACAGGTAAGGCTAATTGCATCCAGAGGAGGCCATAGGTTATGTTACTCTGCCCTTCAGCCTACCTGTTCTGGGTCGCTCTTTGCTCCCAGCCTCCACAATAATCTTAGTACCACTCCTTACTCTCACCATCGCAGAAGAGGAGCACCACTTCTTTCCAAACCAGACTTGTGCAGCTCAGTGTCAGCTGCACCATCTGAGAAACAGATGCCCAAAACAGAGTTAGACGCACAAGAGATTCACTGAGGGAAATGCCTGCAAGGATAAAGGAGAGCGGGAGCAGGAAGAGAAAGGAGGGCCTTCAGATCATGCCACAGGTCCAACATGTGTGAAAGGAAAGGGGGAAGAGAGAGGGATTGTTAGAAAGAACTTCAGACTATGCTGCAGCACTGAGAGAGCCTCAGCCAGCCCAGTGGGAGCTCTGGCACAAAGCATGTTCACAGAAGAGGCCCACAGCAGGCAGAAATGGTGAACCCTTGTGCACATGGTGCTTAGTGGGAGGCTGCCCAGAAAGCTCAAAAGCTGTGTCCCAGGGGCATCCACAGCTCACTGAACTTCCTGCATCAGGCTCTTATGAAGGCAGACCTGCATGGCAGACCTGCGTGGCACACCCAGGACCAGCCATGGCCGACACAATGCTTCAGTATCTACTCATTATAAAGCCTATAGGGGATTTTAAGGCAAGATTCCAACCCAGATTTACTGCCTCCAGAGCCTCTGTGTTCTTCAATGCCCATCTTCTTTAGGGACCACAGATGGCAAATAAGCATTATCTCCAATGCCAACTCATATTGATTGGCAGCAGCTGCCTGAGTTCTGTGTTGAGGAGGATTCTGAGGCTGCTTCTAGGTTCAGCAGGAAGTTCCATGACTGATTAATGATGTCTCCCATGGGTAGGAGAGGAATGAGTGTGCAGATGTGTGCCAAGTATTTGTTTTCCTTACTGTGGGAATAAATATTTATTGAGTGATGAATTCTGAATCTCCTGGCATTCTGTTTAAATTATGCAATTCTTTCCCCCCAAGTAAAACCATCCCCTGGTGAGATGTCCTGGTACCTGGCCCTGGTTATCTCAGAATCATAGGTAAAACTACCATTTGCTGGGGCCTATTATATGCCAGGCACTGTGTTAAGCTCTTTCAACACATTATTTCTTTGGATTCTTACAAAAATCTCCTAAGGAATGGATTAAAACCTCCATTTTATGCTGAGGAAACTGGCCCCAAGAGGTGAGGGATCTATGCAAGGCTGCACAGCAGATCAGCAGCAGAGCCCACTTCCATTACACTCCGTTTTTCTCCACTCCACCAAACATAAGACCAGTGATGAGTTTTGTTATTTCTCCAAATCTAGTGTAGCAATTGGAACATAATTCAGTTATTCATTTACCAAAAAGAGAGGAAATGAATACTGACTAGTCCTTGGAAAATCCTCTGGAAAGTCCCAAGTCCAATCCAACAGTTAAGCCTGTGTATTTGGAGGCTGGTTTCACAACTACTGGCCCCTAACATTAACAACCCTATTTTGTGTGTTGTATATTAATTTTGCTGTGTACCACACACAGTGCGAAACACCTTACATTCATTAACTTATTTAGTACCCACCATAGCCCTATGAGGAAGTAAATATTATTCTCTCTCTCTTACAAAGGATGAAACTGAGGCTCAGAAGGGTGAACCTCCTTGAGGTCACACCCAGTATGGGGCCAAACCATGCAGAAATTTATGTATGTGTGTGTGTACTTTTTTGGTTGCATGTGGAGTTTGTGTCATGTCGTAGAGAGTATTTTTGGAAGAACATGTATGGGAATAAAGGTGCAAAGGATGGCGAGAGGCCCAAGGGGTGGACTGTAATAGCACCTGTTGTTTATAAACCATTTTGGATCCATTTCCACCCTTCTATGTTCAGTGTTAGTGTGACCTTCGGCACATGACCCAATTAGAATCTCTCTTTAAATTTAAAGGCTTGTGTAGCACAAAAAGGTGGTTAATAATGGAATTTCTAGAAATGTGTAGCCTTGTCCAATTCTGGACTGCACAGTTCACTAGCATTCTGACATTGGGCAAGCTGCAAGATCTCCCTGTGCCTCAGTTTTTTCATCTGTAGAATGAGGACAGTAATATCATCTACCTCATAACTGTTACACCCTTAGAGGAGTACCTGACACATAGAAAGTTCTACTTTGGCGTTTTTTGTCTGTTTTGAATTTTAGTCCATCAATCTTCAAGGGCTTACAATTCATTCTTGCCAATGAGACCCCTGGAGCATGTTAATTATTCCTGAGCTTTCTAGTGACAGCTCCCCAGCCTTCTCATTGATTCTGTAAGCCCCTGATACCTTGCCAACCCATTATTTCTCTGCTTAACTAACTCAGAGTTACTCTGTTGTCTTCAATGCCAGAACACTAGATGTCTCATCAATTCGGTTTCACTGCAAAGCTGGGACTATAGATCCTCCCTGCTACAGTCTCCCCAACACCCTGTGCCTGACCCCAACAAGTCTGTCTGTTCTCTCCCAAATTCATGTCTGGAACAGTGGCCAAAACCATCCAGACTGGCTCCTGCAGTTTGGAGAGGATTTATTTGATTGCTTAATACATACTGCTAAGGGATTCTCTCATCTGCATGTCATGGTGGAATTATTGGGGATTATTAGTCCCAAATTAACAATGAGCAAATGGAGGTCCAGGGATATAAAGGGACATGTTAAAAGTTACACAGCAAGATGGGATGGCTCCTAACCTAGCTCAGGCTCTCTACTAAAATACTGATTAACCTTTGTGGGGTGGGAGGTGGGCTGTGAATAAGGTTTGGACTTTGAATTTAAACCCTGACTACTACACTTGACCTTTTGCAGCTCTTCACTTACTCCCAGTTTCTTTAAGCTTAACACTACACCAGGGCCTTTGCATAGGCTGTTCCTTCTGCCAGGAACTCCGTTTCTTCCCACACCTCACACCCCCATTCTTCACCTAATTCCTTCCCCTTTTAGATCAAGGTTTCTCTGTTGCCTCCTTGACCACCAGCTTTAAGCTGATCCCCTTCTAGTTCCCAGTGTTGACATATGTCTGTTTCCTTAGCAGTTGCCACATTTAGGGGTTTTTTTTTGTTTTTTGTTTTTTCTGTTTATCTGTTTCTAGCCTTCCCCACCAAACTGTATATCACTTTAGGGCAGAGACTCCAACTTGTTCTGGGTCAGGGCTTGGCACAACGTTTGATGAATCAGTTGGTGAATCCCAGAGCCATCCAAGCAGAGATCACCTGCTTTCTAGTCTCCCTCCAAAGCTGAGGAACAACGGCCTGGCCAAGGTCACAAAGCTAGTCATTATCTGGAAGGAGCAAGACCAGAACTGGCAAACAGCCACCCTCATCCCTCAGCCGTGCATGGTGCTGTCATGACGGTGGGTGCGGTAGGTGGGCTGGGCTTCCCGGGGGGAAGTGTTGGGGCAGATGCTTACTCCCTTACCCAGGTCTAAGGCATTTCGAACACCATTATAGTCGCTATCATCACCAGGGTCATCATCACCCCAACTTTACAGACGGAGAAACTGAGGCTTAAGAATCCCACACGTGGGAAGTGGAGGAGGAAGGGACTCGACCCCAGGTCTGAGTCTGCGGTGGCGGGGCCTCGCTCTGCGGGTCTGCACAGTGGGTGCTGCCGGCGGAGGGGCGGGCGGAGGGCGGCCGGCCGAGGACTTGGCAGCCGGCGCCGCCCGCGGGCCGGAGCGGGGCGCCTGGTTCTCATCACGCGCCGCGGCGGGCTGGGCGGGGGCTGCCGTCGCGCCGCCGGGTCCCACGCGGGAGCCGCGCCGACCCGGGCGGGCCCTGCGGCCGCCCCGCCCCGCCCCTGCGGCCGCCCCGCGGAGGTGGCCGGTCCGCGCCGCCCGCGCCTCTGCCTCGACTCTCCCGCTTCGGCCCCGATCTCCGCCCGTCTCTCCGGCTCCCCGGCGCCCGCTCCCTCTCCCCCAGTCTCCCCCGCCTCCCCTCGGAATGAGGCCCGGGTCGGCGCCCTTGGCCAGCCCGCTCCGCTCGCTCCGGTGCTAGGCGAGGGCTGGGGGCTGCAGGACAGACAGACCAGCGGACCGACCGACCCGGCACCCAGGACAGGAGCAGCCCGTCACTATGGTAACGCCTGCCAAGGCCTGGACCACCTAGCTCTGCCCCCTTTTGGTGGGCACAGCCCTCGAGGAGGCGCCGAGGGCAGACCCCAACCATTTAGGCTGAGGCGACACTCAGTACCTGGCCAGGGGTCTGTGCTTAACTGCCCCCCTGCCCCCCAGAAGGGGTAGTGGCGAAGGGGGGTGCAGGAGGCCATCTCTGGCAATGTTCCCTCTCCGTGCACGAAGTGGATGGAGTAAGACTGGGTGACTTGTCAGCTTCGGTATAGCCCCATCCCACAGCCTAGAGCTGGAATCCCCCCTTGGGGCCTGGGACAAACTTTGGGGTGGTGTTGCGTTTTAGACTTGGGCCTGGAGGTCAGATAAGCCCATTGTCCTGTGTGGGGTTTGGATGAGATGGGAGTTAAAGTGCCCTCACAGCCCAGTGAGGTAAGGGTGGAGGGTTAAGCAGGGCAAGGAGGGTTAAGGGTGTGGAGTAGAGAGGAAGGAGTTGCTCACAAAACGCGGGGTGTTTTAGACTCAGGGCAGGAAAGTCATATATGCATATTGTTCTGACAAGAGGTGTTCCCAAGGGAATTGGGTGGGGAGGTGGACCTAAGGGAAAGGGACAGAGAGGGCAATATCCCCAGCCTGTGGCTTTCTGGGCTGGCACCTCAGAAAGGTTGGGATGCACTGGGAGAAGACTGTGTGTTTGCTCCAGTATCTGGGGGCAGAGAAGGAAAGAGTTGGTTGTCAGGGAATCCCAGTGGAGCTCCAGACAAGCCCAGGTGGATTCGCAGGAGCAGTGGGCACTTGGAAAAGGGCTGTGAGGACAGGCTAGGGCTTTAACCTGCTTCGGAGGTGGCCGGTCCGCGCCGCCCGCGCCTCTGCCTCGACTCTCCCGCTTCGGCCCCGATCTCCGCCCGTCTCTCCGGCTCCCCGGCGCCCGCTCCCTCTCCCCCAGTCTCCCCCGCCTCCCCTCGGAATGAGGCCCGGGTCGGCGCCCTTGGCCAGCCCGCTCCGCTCGCTCCGGTGCTAGGCGAGGGCTGGGGGCTGCAGGACAGACAGACCAGCGGACCGACCGACCCGGCACCCAGGACAGGAGCAGCCCGTCACTATGGTAACGCCTGCCAAGGCCTGGACCACCTAGCTCTGCCCCCTTTTGGTGGGCACAGCCCTCGAGGAGGCGCCGAGGGCAGACCCCAACCATTTAGGCTGAGGCGACACTCAGTACCTGGCCAGGGGTCTGTGCTTAACTGCCCCCCTGCCCCCCAGAAGGGGTAGTGGCGAAGGGGGGTGCAGGAGGCCATCTCTGGCAATGTTCCCTCTCCGTGCACGAAGTGGATGGAGTAAGAGTGGGTGACTTGTCAGCTTCGGTATAGCCCCATCCCACAGCCTAGAGCTGGAATCCCCCCTTGGGGCCTGGGACAAACTTTGGGGTGGTGTTGCGTTTTAGACTTGGGGCTGGAGGTCAGATAAGCCCATTGTCCTGTGTGGGGTTTGGATGAGATGGGAGTTAAAGTGCCCTCACAGCCCAGTGAGGTAAGGGTGGAGGGTTAAGCAGGGCAAGGAGGGTTAAGGGTGTGGAGTAGAGAGGAAGGAGTTGCTCACAAAACGCGGGGTGTTTTAGACTCAGGGCAGGAAAGTCATATATGCATATTGTTCTGACAAGAGGTGTTCCCAAGGGAATTGGGTGGGGAGGTGGACCTAAGGGAAAGGGACAGAGAGGGCAATATCCCCAGCCTGTGGCTTTCTGGGCTGGCACCTCAGAAAGGTTGGGATGCACTGGGAGAAGACTGTGTGTTTGCTCCAGTATCTGGGGGCAGAGAAGGAAAGAGTTGGTTGTCAGGGAATCCCAGTGGAGCTCCAGACAAGCCCAGGTGGATTCGCAGGAGCAGTGGGCACTTGGAAAAGGGCTGTGAGGACAGGCTAGGGCTTTAACCTGCTGACTGTGATCAACCATGTTGAGCTTGTGTGGCCCTCACTTTGGGCACATCCATGCACAGAAGAACTCTACACAGAGACATGTTCACACACACACACACACACACACACACACACACACACACACACACACACCAAAGCATGTTCCCATTACACAGTGGAACACACATGCCCTCTCACATACATGCCTTGTCCACCTGCTTTCCCATACTGCTAAAATATGGTCATACATCTGCACATACACCACAGACATACTGCAAAATTTAGGCTCTAAATCCACATACCAGCAGGTGTACACACACATTGCTCTTGGAGCTGTATGACAATAATTACTGTAAGCTAACGGTTATTCACTTCTCATCACAGGCAAGGTCTGTGCTAGGGGAAGCATGCGGGAGCTCGTTTAACTTACACTGACTCTAAGAGTAAGCCTGCTGGTATCTCTCCCCCACAGCTCCCACCCCCAGATGGAGACTTGAGGCTCTGGGAGCTTAAGCGCTGCCTGAGTTCACCCTGCTAGGAAGTGGGAGTCAAGATAGCCTGAATTCTGAACCTGTGCTCAGCTGTCATGACCACCCCAGAGCCACAACCTGCACCAAGTGTTTGCCAAACCTTCCCTTGTATTGGACCTAATGCAGTTATTAGTTTCAGAATCCACAAACTCCTTACCAAACCCCAGGCACTCAGATCAAGAGTCGGGCACTGGGTGGCTCCTTGCAAAAGTTGAGCTGAATTGAGCAATTCTTTACTGAGTAGAAATGATGGACAGATTTTTCTCCAGCCTGAATTATTAATGGTTGTTTCATGACCACCCCTCTGGCCTTACCTCTGTACTCCAGCCACTCTGACCTTGGTTCAGAGCCTCTTATGTTCCATGCTTCTTCCTACCACAGGGCATTTGCACATGCTGTTCCTGCTGGGTGGAGTCCCTTCACCTAATCAATTCCTATCCATCCTGTAAATCTCCACCCAAATGTCACCTCCTCAGCAAAGCCTTTCCCACTTTCCCCTACTCCCACTGTAGCATGCCATATATCTCTCCTTCATGGCACCCATCACAGTTGTAATTTTTGTAGGAAGACTTGATTAATGGTTGCTTAGAGTCCTGGGGCAGCCCAGTGTCAGAGCACCTTATGGCCGAGGGGCTTAGGGTTTATTCAGTTCCACATTCTCAAAATTTTAGTATCATCGTAACAATTGCATATCCACTTAACTAGATAAGGTTTTATAAGGAAATAATAAAATTTACTACTTATTACTAGCTTTATTTTTCTTTAAATCAACTTTATAAACTTAAAAATATGTTTAAAGAGGAAATTCTATATCACAACCATGAAAAATCAGTATCCATTGTCACAAATAGAAAGTAACTGTAAAAATATTTACAACAAAGGCAGATTCATGTTAGTAAGTTCTGGCTGGATGAAATTGGCTGTGGACAATTTCAAGCCCAAGGACTTCTTCCTTTTTGTTAAAAGGCATAATGAAGAAGTGTCTGAGAGGTGTTTAATATATACTGGCACTGAACTGGGACTTTCTCTTTGGTGTCATCAGGACTGGAAGAGAGTTGGAGTAACTTTCTTACTGTGACTTCATGTCATGTCATCTCTTTGCCAAATCGTTTCGTGGGCCACCTGTTAATCCCTTTCCATGCTTTGAGAAAAGCTGGTTGAATCCAAATCAATTCATTCCACATTGCCAAAGTACCTATTTCATGAAAGTCCCCTAAAGCTCCAACTGGGTGCCAGGTCTTGTGTGTAGAGATGAGTAAGCGCTGGTCCCTGCTGGGGGCTTGCAGTGCACAGGGAAGGCATGGCTGCTCACTGAGATTTCTGGGATGGGTGATGGGCCTTGGGAGTCCATCCCTTTGCTGGGAAGCACATGTGTCATGAAAAGGGGAGAGATGCCAGGCAATCAGGGCTCTGAGGTTGGGTGGGAAGGCGCTCACCAGTCCAGGGAGGGGTGCAATGTGAGTTCAGGCGGTGTTTCCCAAAGTGTAGCACCCACCTTGGTCCTAGGAGGAGAGACTTCAGATGGCCCTTAAGCGAACATTTTTTATTTATCTTAATAAGTGTTAGAAAGTGATTTAAGCAGCAGGAACACATGATAATAAAAATAACTTTATTTAAGTTGGGAACAAATTGACAAAAAGACACATGTGAAGCTGAGTTGCTATGGCAGTGGGGAGCTACTTGAGACTGTTGAGCAGTGGAGGGTCACTATCAGATCTCTGTGTTAGGAAGGCCATTGTAGTGGCCAAAGGAGAGCCTGGCCTGGTGGCAGGGGGCCTGGGGAAGGAGCAGGAGAGCTGGTAGTTATGCGTGTAGGTTTGTACCCCAGCTCTGCCATTTTCTGGTGGT